GTAATTTAAGACACACTAAACACCCTCAGGTGTTGCACATTTTACATTACATATTCTAAGCATATAATTTTAAACCAAATAATAAATTTCTTATTTTATAATGTGTAGTAAACGTTTGTTATCTTTCGAATACCCATTCGATTTTTTATTGCCACAGAACACTCCCCAACCGGTACCTGACGTGTCAGAAAGTATGTCTGTCTACACTAAATTATTTTGCAATTAGAGATCAGAAAATTATTGAATCGAAGTGGAAGTTTATGGTGGATGAAACATTCATCCACCAATTTTAACTCTGTTTGCATTTATGAGAAATTGATATCTTGTTTTCATTAATTGTATTTTTCGTCTTAAGTCAAAAATAAATCCAAGGAATTCACACGGAGTGATGGGTAGGTATAAGATTTTTTTTTTTTTAATATTATTATTATTATTATTTATTAATTGTATTATTATTTATATATATATATATATATATATATATATTTTTTTATATTATTTTTTTCTCGACTTTTGCCTGTAATCTTGATATGTACGGGCCTAACCCAAGTACATAACAATGTTCTGTTTCAGGTAGATATACCATAATACAAATGTAGGCCTAATCTGTCTGTAGAAACTTTCTAACCATGCGGCATGTGTTCGACTGACATGCATATTAGGGTATTTTTCAATAAACTTTAGATGTAAAGGTTCCAAGTAGTTTTTTGTGTCAGTGTCTAATGCAGTGAGTTGAAGGTAAGTTCGCAATATGAACAAATTCATTTGAAGTGTCCATCGTTTGCGTTTTTGAAGAGCGCCAGAGATGGGTGCAAACTCATTGTATTATTATTATTATTTCTTAATTTTATTATTATTACCATTATTTATTCTATTATTATTAATATTATTTATTAATTTTAATTTTATTATTTATTTATTTTATTATTATTATTTGTTTATTTTATTATTATTATCATTATTTATTCTGTTATTATTATTATTATTAAATAAGTAGTGATTGGAAAATACAAGTGGTATCATTGACATTAGAATAACATTCAGCATATGAACGGCCAAAACAAGTAAATTACAGACACTAACGTTCTGGAACTTAAATATTACATAACTGGTATTATATTACATAACAAAATCTCGGTAAATATGTATGGGGCTGTACACAGGCCAAATAGTAATCAATTGAATTGATAGATAGATAGATAATTTATTTGCTTCAACATTTACAACAACAGTATAAATGTTCGCCTCATATTCAGGGGGCATGCAAATTACAATTCATAACAATTACTTTTACAATTAAATTACATTATAAATAATAATATCAGATGTCAGGTCAATTCCCGCAAAGAGTAACATCATTTTTTAACGAGCCATTGGTGTAATTCTTTTTTAAATCTATTTAACGGCATCTCTCGAATTACCTGTGGTATTTTATTATATATTTGTATGGAGCTGAACTGTGAGTTAATTTTATGCAAGTTAGTTCTACACGGTGGCATATAATTTATCAGCATATTTAAAGCGTAAATACTTTCTTTGTGATTGTACAATATTAATTGAAAGCAGATACTTATATCAACGGATGCTATGATATCATACGGATGCGATCACTAATTTTAAGGAAATTCTATAGTCTTCCAACTAAAAGTGTGTGGTTGTTATAAATCTCTTTAATGTTTTTAAATTTAGAATAAATCTGTTTTTATGATATAACTATGCTGGATATAAATTAGATTGGTTCATGCCAGCATTCTGAGATTACATTATTTTATAAAAGGTCCTGTATATAGCATCACTGAAATCTATCGATTCCTCTAGTGTTTTTGGGTAGACACTTGGAGGTTTTGTGTCGGTACGGAGTATAACGTTATTGTATAGCCGGCACACCAGACAAGCAATGTCTCGTTTTAACTGTTCTCACTCCACCGTGGCACGAAATATTTCAAACGGAATGCATAGTGTACCTCGTAAGGATCCTGCGCCTGCGCCTGCGCCTGCTGGCTACGGATCGCGGTGGTGGCTTCGGTTGCATTGCATAAGCCCTGTTGGATGTCTTCAGATGCAGGGCTCTGAAGTTTAACTTGTTTTTGGATCTATGATCTTTATTAATGAAGGTTTTCATACTAAAATGTTTATTTAGATTTTTTCTCTCGTGGCCGCTTGATTGTTTGAGGTACCTACAACAAAACAATTTTTTTTTTTTGTAGGTACCTCTCTCCAGACATGTAACTATTAGCAGAAGTATCATCAATGCATCTTTATTAATATGTAGCCCACTATTAACAGATGCAATTACAACGGGTTTTTGTTTCTAAATTGTAGCTGTCGCACAACAAACGATTCTCATTGCTTATAGGTTTTAATATATATATATTTTTTTTTGAGAGAGGTTTCTTTAGATGTTAGACTGCAATTAGCAGGTATCAAGTATTTTTTAGAATATCGTCACGAGCTTCCTTTGGTAGGCCCTTCTCCAATATTTCCTTTCATCTCGATGCAACATTCTTTATCCGATGTTTTTACCAAAATTAGTCTTTGATTTGGCGCGTTCTCGAGAATGGCGAGTATGTCTGCGGCATGGATAACCTCATCTTCTGTACCTATATTTTCTTGTGGTGGTGCAGATGGTCCTGACTGTGGTGATGAAGACATCGTTGTCATGACAGGATTGGAGTACAACGGTAATAACAGGCTCGAATGACCGATGCTCTGGTTTATATAGCCGTTCTGAACTAACGCTTTGTGGATTACCACAGACTAACTAACTTGACACAGAATACCCAGTATGGTAACCTCGCATCACATTTTTACTAGACGGAGAATACCCAGTATAGTAAGCTCTCATCACATTTTTACTTGACGGAGAATACCCAGTATGGTAAGCTCGCAACACATTTTTACTTGACGGAGAATAGCCAGTATGGTAGACTCGCATCACATTTATACTTGACGGAGAATAGCCAGTGTGGTAAGCTCGCATCATATTTTTGGTTGACAGAGAATACCCAGTGTGGTAAGCTCGCATCACATTTTTACTTGACGGAGAATAGCCAGTGTGGTAAGCTCGCTCGCATCACATTTTTGGTTGACAGAGAATACCCAGTATGGTAAGCTCGCATCACCTTTTTGGTTGACAGAGAATACCCAGTATGGTAAGCTCGCATCACATTTTTGGTTGACAGAGAATACCCAGTATGGTAAGCTCGCATCACCTTTTTGGTTGACAGAGAATACCCAGTATGGTAAGCTCGCATCACATTTTTGGTGACAGAGAATACCCAGTATGGTTCTATAATTTTCTACCTTCAGATTCACTCTCCGATGAATAAATTACACGAAGATTTTTCTTTTTTCAGAATCTCTTGTAATTTTCTTGTTTGAATGTCTTCTCCCCATGTTGATAGTAGCTTCGTATATTGTAGACGTGCGGAGGCTTCGGCACGGAAACACAGAATGAGCGCAGTAACAAGAATATCCCACCTTATCGGGTAAGTAGTGGGAGGTAGTAAGGGAATAGTCAATACAACAACTAATTTTTATTTTTATAAAAAAAAAAAAAACTATAAACTACCGTGCGAGGCTGGTGCTTGGGAATACTACTACAATATGTAAACACAAATCGCTAAGAATGAAGCTGGAAACATAATTACACATATATTGTGGAATGAAGTGCCTGCCGACAGCATGGAGTTTTTCAAGAAGGGAACATTAAGGTTTCATAAGCGGAGTATATCCGCACAATAAAGTTACGAAACAGGTATTTTTCAGTATTTGTTTTGTCTTCATTCAGAGACGTTGCATCTCCCCTCATCCAAGCGCGATAGCAATATTTTTAATAGAAATATAGCCGTAACGTCCGGAACGTTACGGCTATATATATATATACGTCAACACGGCTTAGGTACTCTAATATTACAGTGAATATATATAAATGCATTTTTTGTGACTCTAATTCCAATGTGTTGTACATTTAATTTTAAAATCTTTACACAATAAATAAAATTGTTTAAAGAAAATGCAACTAGAGTGGAACGTTGATGTTAGTTGTCTTATCCTATGGTCAAAATTATATTTAGTTTACTTAGTTATTGTAGACCTTTTCGAGTAACGTTTTGTATGGAGTGCTTGCCTCAGATGTAACGGTTATGAATGGATATTATACAAGTCCTATAGATTAAAACCACCACGGTATTCTTTCTAACCGCCACAGTGTACAGGTCACAAGGTCGATTACATATTCTACCACGTCCCAGGATCATATCCCAGGTTAACACCTAAATTCGAGAGAATTTAGGTATCATATGGATAGATATAAGCGAGAGAGCGGACATCGCCTATAGTAGAACAGTGGAATTGACTTATACAATATATTTATGTTATCATGCAAATGAATTTAGATTGTAAACTAGAATATACCTACCAGCATTGTGGACTGGAAAATATTAGAACGAAATTGACGACATTCATCTTTGATATATGACTTTATTAGTACAACAGTATAGTCAACGTCACCGTTATGTTCAATCAATAACCTATCTAGTTTAAAAATTCCCGATATTTCCATACAAACTTTAAATTTACATTTTTCGCATTAAAAAGTAGCTTATGTCCTTTCTCAGTGTCTCTGTGACACACAAATTTTATTTAGATCGGTTTAATAGTTTTGGCGTGAAAGCGAAACAGACAGAGTAACTTTCACATTTATAATATTAGTAAGGATAAAACTATAATAGTATTGTTGTATTAAAAAAAGGTGTCAATCATAATTCAGAGCAGCAGCAAGCAGCTACTTGTTAGCTGATGTTAATGAAAAAGTAGTACCCAGCGTTATAACTTTATACAAAGTCTAACTTGATAAAAATGTTATATAAATATAGATAGGAGCAAAGTAAAAGAATAAATTGAAAGAGGTAATTGTCAATTTAATTTATATTGTAAGTAAATGTTAATAAATGTGGTTAAATATCTTATTAGCTAAATAATTTTAATTACTAATAACCTTAATAAAATGGATAGGAGCGGCCAGTCTCGATACGGAGGATTCCACTAGGGCATCTGAAAGTGATAATAGCATTTTTAAAAGAAATCGAATGGAAATATAAAAATATGATTTGAAATACAATGGTAGATTTAAATTTTATATATTATGGAAACGTAAATAAAAACTCTGCTGATGATTGTAATACTCGTAATACTTGAAAAGTAGTTATTATTTTCTTTAATTTATTCATCTTGACTGCAGCGTGGCCGTGTTTATTTAATACACATTTATACATATGTAGGAACTATAAAGAAAGTGACTGTTGTAAATATTTTTTTTTTGTATGAAAAGATATTAATTACCTTTATGTAATTTGTAGAGTACGTTATTGTTACATGTTTCATTTTGTTCTTTCTTGTTTATTAAATGGATAGTAGTTTTTAAGGTTTTTGTTACTGGTACGATATAATTCTTGTTGTTTAATTGTTTCAAGGAAATATCAGGAGTTATGACCCCTGAGACGTGAGTACGTTCATTATAAAAGAACATAAAAATGAACTACTAAATTGTTATGTAACATCCCTTTGTTAATAAACATATATTATTGTTATGATATTTACCCGTTTTTCGGTGCTAGATCATTTCCTCCCATTTTAATTTCGCCATTTCTTCTGCAATTGTTTAATGTCATCTGGGTTTTTGATGAGCAGCAGCTAGCCATAAATGTACCAGGTGTCTGTGATGCAGCAAAGTACCACCATGCTCGGTTGTGATCACATGTATTTGAGCCCCAGCATCCCGGTTGCTTGGTACCGCCATTAGGGAAGAAATCTAAGTCTCCCAATACTATTCCAAGCCCATTTGATAAAGGACAACCCCCGTCAGTATGGATTACTTCGACGTAAACGGCGTCTGTTCTGCGCAGCCTATTATTGGATTTGGAAGGATCTAAAGCTGCAATATTAAAAGAACAAAATGCTTTAAATTTAAATCTCGCATTTTACCAGACAGAATTGAAAGAATTGAACCAGTTATCATCATCATCAAATACAGTGTGTAAAATCAGTAGCACCACTTTATAGCAGTCTGTATCTTTGTTTACACTATATCTCAGCTCAACAGCTGCTTTCATTCTTATTTTCTTGCATAAGGTTGAATAACATTTTTAAGGACAGTTTACAGTAGTTATTGTAACATAAAAAGCTAAGTAGGAGTAGAAATGGAATCCATTGGTTTATATAGGCATTAGAATACTTCTGTAAATTCCGTGGGGCTGTTGATGGTGAAACTTCAAGTCATATAAAATAGAATATCATCCTTTTATCATGCTGAAATCCTGACAAATTGTAGAAATGTACCAAATGTTAGAAAATTACAGCAATATGAAATATATAGTTATAGATACTGAATCGGTATCCTATAAACTTTTTTGTAGTATAGATAACTAACTAACGGGACTAACTTTGTAGAAAATAATCTGCGGGTGAGTACCCGCAGATTCATCAGTTTCAGCAGCCAAGCAGCCTACTTTGTAAATTGTATTTCGGTTGAAGGTGAGAATGTACTCCTCCAGAATGACAACGCATGAATAGTATCACGGGCGTCACGTGATTAGGTAACTTCCGTGACGCTGTTCGTGTATATACATATGTATATACACATATGTGTATATTATTATAGTATCTGGTAGAAAATGCCACATGGTGTTAAGTCTGCCAAATGTACTTTACTATATTTTGTATATTGTGTGCATTGAAGTTAAATAAAATGAAAAATAAAAATATATTATGAGAATTTCTTTGTATGATTAAACTCAGTAATCTCAAAAACTGCTAGTTCAAATTGAAAGATCTTTTATTTTTAGATAGCCCATTTATTGCGGAGATCTATGATAAGCTATATAACTTTACGTCACCACATATACATATGTGACGCAGACTAAGTTACGTGGATTAGCCAATAATTTCATAATCAAAAAATGAAAATATCGGGTTATACACAATGTTGTTCATAAACCAGAAATTTCCACTGTTTTTGATTAAGGTACTACAAGAAATTAAATTACCACTTAAAATTAGTTATGAATAAAAATTTTGCTGTGATATTCAATTGAAATCTTATTGGTAGGGACATAAAAATATTTTTAGAAGTTATCAGTTTTTATAAACTTTAATAAATAAATAGTGATCTAGATCTTTATGATATACGCAGGCCAGGCACCAGGGCGAAAGACATGAAGTAGAAATCAGGTCAATCATCCATCATAATGAAGTTACCAGAAATTGACTTCCAAAAAGTAATCGCTGATTTCTTTTTAAAATTCATATTATCATTGTAGATATTGATAAGTTAACAATGTCATTTAAATAAAACCGAATAGAAAAAGTCAAAATAAATACCTGTAATTCTTCGGATTATGCCTGGGTACAATCTGCCTGTATGTCCAACAATATGAGCGCCAAGATTAAAGCCAACCAAATGAAGTAGATTAAGATTCAATGAAAACATTCGTATGAAGAGGTGTATATTCATGGCGACTTCTGCAACATGGCTGTCTGCCCTGGAGTATGACAGCCTTGAATATACAGTCCAGTCTACTACTATCACGTTCACGTCTTCATAGGTTAATATTGCTGTAAGGAATTAATATGCTCAGTTGCAATATATTAACTCGACTATGGCGCAGCTTACGAAGGTTATGATTGTGACCGTATATATGTGTATGTTCATCTACTCTCTGATAATTTCCAAATCATATTTAATCAGTAAATTAACAAATTAGATATTGTTAGAAGCACTTTAATCGTCAGCTGGTTATAGGTAATGTGGCATCACTATCATTTCAATATAGCGCGTCCTAAAGGAGAGAAAAAGATTAACACACAATCGTGATGTGTCATAATTTGGCATGCAAAAACTTTACAAAATATTTTATCATACAAAAAAAAATAAGTATTACATTCTTTTAGACAAAAAAAATAAGAGAATAAATGATAAAATTAGCTCATTATTGCGCGCGGAAAAATATTTCCAAATAAATGACATAATATAAATATGCTAACAAAAGGGGTTATTGCTTAAATTATCTTATGTATCTTACACACAATCTGGGAGATCGAAACTTTGGGTAAAGGAAAGATATAAAAATAAAAATAGATAATATATCAATATAAGATACATACACATAAAATATATAACTAAACATACTATTAGTAATTATTCACATAGTATAAACTATAAGTACTTACTGATATTTAATATGTACAAAAAATAAAAAAATGTTAGAGAAGATTTTTTGTCGAAACGAAAGTAAGATTTTACTGATTTTTAAAACAAATCTGCTCTGTTTTTTAAGTGTTACGTTACGTTAATTCTCGCAAAGAGTAACAGCATTTTACAGCACCTTAGTACCCCGTAATGGCAACACATACAGGGTATCGTATAACACATACAGGCTTCATGTATCAATGTCCATAATGTTGCTCATACATGTCATAGGTTACTTATTATCAACTGAAAGGTCAGTGTTTGTCATTTCAGTTATATTAATAAAATAATATATGCATCATGACTAGGGCCCTCACTGGACTCTACAAATTGTATAAATACATGGCGAAATTAGGCCTTAGCTTAACATCAATTTGCAAATTTTCCCAAACAGAAGAGGACGCCACTACACATCTCATGTGGTTGTAGCCCATTTATGCATAAACGAAATATCACCTTTGGAAAGTATACACTCTATCCTGAGGAGATAAAAACCATCAGTCTTAAGAATATCCTTCAATTCTTATCGATCACGGGTCTAGGTAGCGAATTTTGAATAAGGGCGAGCACAATAGACAAGTCGCAGTGTTACAGGTCTTAGCATCTGACAATAGCCCACACCCGCCA